GAATTTTAATCTAACATTTGGTCAAGAAATCAAATTATTGACTATACAAATAAATAGTTATTGCTTGTTGAATGTCTCTGTGATTACATCATCACCATGTTTTTTTAAATTTTTTTGCCATTAAATTAATTAATCAACCTCGTCCGTATCCATATAAAAATAGATTTAAGTGTACATTTAAACATGAACTTTTTGAATGGTTATAATTTTTATGGTAAAAGTAAATTAAAGTACCCTGAAGTCATCTTTAATGCAAAATTAAAATTAAGATTCTGATTAATATATATAAGAAGTGATTTCAAAATTGAACTTGTGTTAACTACCGTTTAATCTAAAACTTAGTTAAATGCAAAATGCAGTATGGTGATTTTATTCTCTAAATGGTTCATTTTTTAGAGGGGTAAATACTATGTAGTCCCTAGGTTTTACTCAAATACACTATTATGGATAATAATTATGCTGTATTTTTACATTTTATTTTTTGAAAGGACATCGTTGTTACTAAAATATAAAAATAGAGGGTTATAATAGGTCTCTCGCAAAATTGAGGGTGTGACAAGGCAAATTATATAAACTTCAAGGGCAAATTTATGCATTTGACTATTTCTTTTTGGCCAAATACATAAATTCATTCTGAACTTTGCAATTTTAACCTATCGTGCATTTGAACTTGTAAATTTTGGTAATATTATATATATTTTCACACTAATAACAATAGTTTTTGGGATTTTCCTTTTATATGCAAAATATTGATTTAATGTATAGTTAACATAACTTTTGTAACAATAGTTTTCACATTTTGTAACTATTTAATATGTGTCTAATTGATCTAATTTTGCAAATTCAAATATTCAATTAAATAATTCTACAAATTGAAGTGTTTAATAGATAAAATTTTATGAGATGAAGTATTTAATGGGACAAAATAAAAATTAAAAGTGTCATAAGATTGAAGTAATAAAGTTTAAAATTTTTGTTTTTTTCATTATGTTACAATTTCATCAAAACGAAAAGTGAGGGTGCCTAAGCATTAAGTTTTTATTTTTGCTTTTATTATTATTTTATTTTATATTATTATTTTAGGAGTAGTATTTATGTAATACTCTATTGGAAATATTTCTAATAATAAGCTTCGACTTAATAGTTAAGGCAGACTATCAAATTCTCCAATGTCCTAACTTATCTTTCGTAAATTATATTTTGATTCAAAGATATTTAAATAAGTCATATCATGAAATTACAATAAAGTTATGAACTTACTATCATTTTCTTCATGTTCTTATTAAGATTGGAAATCCTGTATTTTATATATCCATACAATTCAGTACTTGGATAATAATGTTTCATATAAAAATAAAAATTAAAATATTTTAGCTTCCAAACATATAAAGTATTAAACTATGGAGGCTCTAAATCCTAAATAAACACTAAGAGAAGTTATAGAGCAGGAGACGTGTTCCGTTAACCATACTGAATTAGTCCAATTTCAATTATTAAAATATATTCTTATGATAAACGAGTCTGAAATTAAATGATATAAAATCGATCTAAATCGAATTGAATTAATTTGGTTTATTTTGGATTCAGTTCTTCAAACTAAATTAGCTATTCTAAATTAAAAATGAATTTGTTTAACTATACGCAGTAATGGAATCAAAATCGAAATTCAAATATTTTTCTATATTCAAACCAAGTAATAATTGAATTTCAAATAATTATATCAATCGGATTGAAATGAATGGATTTGGTTCAATTTTCTGCTAGAAACGGACTATTACTCGCCCCTAATATCGCCAAACCCGGAAAATACGCAGGATTGGCGGAATAGCTCCTTTTTGCATCCATGAGTTTTTGGTACTTGGAAATAATAATAACAATAGTAATAATATATATAGGGAGCATTGGGCTCAACTATAGCTTTCTCTTTACCCTTTAGGATTAAACATTTATTTTATTATTCATATAAACAAAAATATCAAAAACAGTTGATTGGCTTTGTAGGACAAACAGTTACCTTAAAATTTCAAACATCGTCTTATAGTATAATTCAAAATCTTTATTAAAAAGAAAAAATGAAAAAATGAAAAAGCCTTAGCCGCCTCATATATATATTACCACTGTAAATAGTTTTGGCAGCTGATCTGCAGTCCAAAAAGATTATGTTTCATTTGACATTACTCATTTTCGGAATATTTTTTTTTATTTACACTATGCATGTTTACACGAGTACAATTAATTTATGTTTGGGAATAATAATTTTAAGCTTTAAACCTCCCCTGATTTTATGGATAAAGTTAGCTTGTCGAACTATATATAATATACATTTGAAAGATGAATCGTTTTTATAATTGCAAAACTAAAATTACATATTGTAGTTTAAACCCAAGTAAGAATTCAATATGACCATAATTCTTAAGACTATTGATGCAAGGATGGATTGAGAGGTTTAAAAATTTTTAGAGTGAAAATAATTTTGAAAAAAAAAATTTAGTTTTACTACATATAATTAGTAAAATTATTTTTTTAGCTCCCTAACTATTTGAGTTGAGTCCACCAGATGGAAATATTTGTAACCTCTTATACTAGTTTGTTTGGTTGTATCGATTTCATTTGGTTAAATGAAATTGTTTTTATTTGAAGGACCTCATTTCACATTTGAATTTTGGCAAAGAATCAACTAAGAAAAAGTTTTAAATTCATTTTTATTACATTGTCACTTAAATATTTGACTCCTAAATTATTAATTTACCGCTAAGTAATTTTTTTAAATATAAGTTGTACTTTTTTTTTTCTTTAATTGATATTTGTTTTTTGAAGTTTGCTTATTAATAGAAATATGAGAAAAATTAGTTCTTTTTTGTCAATTGTGAATTTTATTCCACCATTTTCTATTTTCACACGGATTAAAAAATAACAATTATTATAATTAAAGGACAGTTTTTTTCATATAACTTTTCTATTATTCTCATATTAAATAACACATAAGCAATTATTATATCGGAATAATAAGTAAAAATTAATGAAGATTATTGAAAATAAGATAAAATTTAATAAGGTTATAGCAAACTACTATCTCCATATTTGAAAAAATAATTTTTTCTAAAATACTTGTCACATTTGTGGTTTTAAGAAGTAATAAATATTTTTTTTCACGTTTACCCTTTGTATCTGACGTTTTCATAAAGAATTAGTATTAAATTAAGGGTAATATAGTTAATTTACTATATTAAGGGTATTGTAACTTAGAAAAATTTAATGATTTTCTTAAGAAACGTGAAATTTCAAATGTAACAAGTATTATGGAACAGAAGTAATATTTAAAGATTCATTATAATGCAAAAAAGAAAAGTAGACTATATTTTCAAACAAATTAAAAAAGAAAAATAAATTATCTTTTTGGGACAGCAGAAGTATCATTTAAAATAATATGGGGGAGAGGACTATAATACCACTTTTTTTTTTTCTTCTTTTACAACTTGAAGAAGACTGTATGGTATAATTTTAAATAAAAAAGATTGAAAATATTGTAAAATAGTATTATTTATTTTTTAGGTTAAATGGAATATGAAAGTTGATGATACTACTAGTTTTTTTTTTTTTTTTTTTTTATTTAAAAAAAGTAGGTGTCAACTTAATTATATATTAAAGAGTCGTTCGTTTGGATTAATGTTGAATTCACCATTTCGTTAAGCTGCATGATTAAGAAGTGGTATATAGTATCATCTTATAACTGTAGGAATAATTTTATATTTTCATCTAATAAATTGCACTTGTAGAATCAACTTTAAAAAAAGATTTTCATTTAGCCAAAATCGAACTTACAAACTCAAATAAATAACTTATTACTTCAAACAAGCTTATTTCTTATTATTTGAATGAAAAAGTTAAAGGTTCAATAAGCTGCTATTAAACTAAAACAAACAGCCCCTAAGCAGTATGGTGACAACATAAAAGTGAAACCTTAGCAGCAGAACATTAAAAACTAAGTAAAATGAGAGTATATTAGCAATTTAAAGGTGGTATTAGTACTATAAGCATAGAAGAGTCCACATATATTCATTATAGCTACGTCATAAACTGAACAGTGAAAAGGATTATTAGTTTAATCCCAGCCTAATGCATAAAATTGATCATGTATTTTCCGGCGATTATCTTTATGGTCACTTGAACTTTGTAGCAGTTCAATCATAAATCTGTATTTTCACATTTTAGTAATAACTATATTCATTGCCGAATGAAATAATTTTGTGAGAGTTCAATTATGACATTATACTTTTATATTTTATTTTACAAATATGAAATTACAGGATTATGGTGGATATTCTATAAAATTCAAGACATCAAATGAATAATCATTGACAGTGCATGATCAAATTTATGCCTCAATACAATATTATATACTGAAGAATTGAACTTTGGTGACATGTTAAATGTTTGATTAATTCAATATTTAGTGCATGTTTGATTAGGAATTTTGATGATATGTTTAATGTCAAATTTCAATGATTGAAATGAAGGAATGGATAAGGATCATAAGTTTAGACAGCAAGATCCTAATAACTTGCCAATTGACTGAAAAATGAAAATCAAATCAAGCCTTCCAATCCACCTTTTCATTATATAATATAATATATGATATGATATTTCGAGAAAACACTAGCTTTGCTTAGGAAGAGCCTAATAAGCTATATATATACAAATTGAGAGAGGACAACTCAATTATTAATTACTCATCTCTCATTTCAAGGGCCCCAACCAAAATCTCTGTCTTGAAATCACATTTTCACTCTTTGTGATATTTTTTCAAACATCTTTAATGTTGGCTTTGAAAGTTTCTTTCCTTCTCATGCATTTATAATTTCATTTATTTAGTGAATGTGACACAAAACTATCTCTATTATTATTATTAACATTAATTAATTAGATTCTTGTCATGAACTATATATATATATATTTATATATGTCTCAGTTCATTGCAAACAAAACAACAACATAAAGTATTGAAAAACACATGGTTAGGGAAGATAATTACTACTAATTAATTAAGTTCTTTGCCTGACACATGTCAAAGCAAAGAAAATCACATACTAGATTGCTTAATTAAGCACATAAAAGAAAATAGACCCATATATAATTAATTAATTAATTAGTAGGACCTAAATATGATTTAAGTGAAGAATTACATACATAATATAAATATATTAGATTATTATTAACTAGATAGAATCTGGTCCCTGCCCATTAGCAGTGTACGAGTTGAGGCTAAGCTCTAATGAAGTAGTACGGAAAGTGTTGTTGTTGCTTTCTTGAGCAGAACCATACCAATTGTGATACTGAGAGTAAGAAAGAGGGTTGTGCTTTATGTTTTCTCTTTGTGTAGGGAAGAGAGGGAGAGTTTCAATTTCTGCTTCTTGTTCTTCTTCTTGTTCTTCATCATGTTGTTCAAATAGGGTTTCCATATAACTTGATTTTTGCTTGTCAAAATATGAGTAACTAGATGATCCACTGCTATAAGGATTTTCATTAATCCCAACCCATCCATAGTTAGAGCTCATGGATCCACCAGCTGATATTGAACACTCCTGATTCAAGAAAATTATAATAATAATGATAATAATCTCACCAGAAAAGGAAAAAATAAAAAAAATAACTAAAACTATATTCATACCCTTTATCATATTTGTTCATAGCAGTAAAAGGAAAATACATACACCATTTTGACATAAAATATATTTTGAGTAAAGAAACCAAAAAGTTTTTTCCCTTTTATGGATGTTTCAAGAAGATAAATTTTCATGTTTTAACTCTGGTTTTTTTTATGTGTATACAAATAGGTATACATATATGTATAAATGAACCACACAGGGATGACTTTTATGTTGTTGTTGCCATTTTAATAAGAAGCAAAGACACAGTACATTTTTATAAGTGCACTACACCAACTTCATCAATAGCTCTATATATATATATATATATATATATATCAAGACAAAGTCATAAACCTTTTCTTGGTCATTATTACTTACCCTAAAACTCTTTTCCATTGTTTACCACCCATAATTTCCCATCTGTCCAACAGTAAACCCAGAATTTGAAGATGGAGATGCAGAAGAAGAAAACCCTGTAAAAGCGGAAAAAAAAACCCACATCATTAAAAAAAAAAAACCAAAAAAGAAGTAAGGAAAATTTTGCAAGAAATGAAAATAAAACGGAAAAATGCCAAGAAACGAAAGCAAAATTGAAAATGATAAAAATTTTGCAAGAAATGAAAATAAAACGGAAAAATGCCAAGAAAAGAAAGGAAAATTGAAAAATGATACCAACTAAACAAAAGATAAGATAAAAAAAAAAATGAAAATACAGTGAAAAATACAAAGAAAATGAAAAGAAAAGAGAAACAATACCAAGAAAATGAAAATAAAGTGGAGAAATACCAAGAGATGGAAGGAAAATTGAAAAATAATACCAAGGAATTAAGAGAAAAGAGTAAAGAAATTAAAAAAAACAAACCAGGAGAAGTAAAACTAGGGTATTTGTTGTAGAAAGAAAGATCTTGATCAGGTTTAACAGTAGCAGAAGCAGTTCTTTGCTGTTGCTGTTGCTGTTGCTGTTGTTGTTGTTGCATGGGAACATCAGTTGTGAAACGTTTCTTTTGCCTCTCACGAGCTTTATGGTTCTGAAACCAATAAAAGACATTCTTTCCTTCAATTTTACCGTACTGTCTAAGCCTAGCAGAGATTCTTTGAATCTGATCTGCATTTGGAGACCTAACTCCACTGTTATAATAAAGATCCTTCAGTATTCTTATCTGGTCAGTTGTTGGAGTCCATCTTGTACTACTTTGCCTGCAAAGAAAGCTTCCTTTAGCTGATCCAACGCCGCTATTCTCCTCATTTGCTAGTTGGTGGTGTTGTTGTTGCTGCACTTGCTGTTGGTTAGAGTCCATGATCAAGAAATTAAGAAGAAAACAAAGAGAAACCAACAAAAAGTTTCTATTTTCTTTTTTCTTTTTTTCAAGAAAAAGAAATAAAGGAAGGTTGCAAGATATGGAGAGAAATGGGTTTATATATATTAGAAAAAGAGGCATATGGATGATGATGAGAAGGATAAGAATAAAGAAGGGGGGATTATATATATATCAGAGAAATATATGAAACAGAAGGACTGACGTTGACAGAAATAGATAGAAAGATTCATAAAAAGGTAAGGGACAAAAGAGGGCTTAGAAAGGAAGGGCATCAGTGGAATTACTTGGATCAAAAGGCATGACAAGGATTAGAAAGGAAGGGCATCAGTGGAATTACTTGGATCAAAAGGCATGACAAGGATATGATTTAATTTATCAGAGTCTCAGAAAGAGAGCATGCATGAAGTGATATAATGGATGGAAAGAAAGAAAGAAAGAAAGAAAGAAAGAAAGAAAGAAATAAAGGAAAAAAAAAAGGAGAGAAGGGATGTGATGAATGAATGAATGAATGGTAATAATAAAATGATGGGTTGTGTGATTTAGAGTTCATTTTGTAGGGTTTGGTTATTCTTTTAATGTTGATATGGTTTCTGTTCTGTTCTTCATCAGGCCATGAAACCAGACTAGAAGATATTCTCTGTACTATTGCTTGAGCTTCTAGGGATTTCAGGGGCAAAATTCTAGATGTCGTTTAATGGGTCCCAACCAATAATATATATCAATAGTTAGTAAACAAATTAGTTTAATCTCCTTATTAAGCAGGAGAATACTTTACCTACATCAGAATTTAATTAATTCTTGAAATCAACAATTAATTAAAAGTATAATTTTTTGATTAAACACATGAACTAAACATAGAATGTATTTTTAATTTCAGATAAATGCATAAACTGAACAGGAAGAACCTTAAACCCCACAGATCATATATTACATATAGGGCTATATATGTGTGTATATACATTGATGAGCCACCTTTATGTCACCATCTTTTCCTTTAGAGTCTTTGTTTTTATTACTGGTCTATCTCGAGCTGATATCCTCTGTGCAAGAATACCAGAGATCTCATATGCTTCTGATTGGGTATTAATAATAACATTATAGTATAGGGCTTGAGGAGGATTATAGATAGATAGATAGATAAATAGGGGGACCGCTGAATTCTATAATGTGCAGTTCAAAAGCTAGTCAGGTCCTTCTGGTTTTTGCAAGTACAGTCTTATTATAGTGATATATAATAATTAACCTTTTTACTCAGAGAAATAAAAATGTAAGAGAAGAAGAGAATCAGATGTTAATTATATGCAGTGCAGTGAGCTTCAACATTCAATAAAAAGAAACAACTTTAGGTTTGCAAGTTAACTCTTGTACTTGTCTCATACTAAACAAGGCATTCAATATTCTTGATTTCTGCAGGTTAATTAATGAACCATGACTGCCTCTTAGCAAGTTAACTTCTTTTTCTTTTTGTCTTGGCCTCAAGATACCCGTATCCTATCCAAGTAATTTTTAATATTCTCGACTATTCTCGTTCGCTTCGAGAGGCAAGTTAATAAAACCAATTGATTGGAAATCTCAGGGTTTCAAATATAATTATACTGTGGTAATGAACATTATTTATATATGAAGAATAATAGAATGCACTACAGTGAGGAAAATTGAATAGAAAACTCATTTCACTGTTACCATGATGGAGAGTAAATGCAAAAGGAAGAGAAAGGTAAATATAATAAAATAATAGTAATTATGATTTACTTTTCATCTTTTTACATAGAAGAAGACCATCATCAATAACTCTATCATTCTTTCTTGCGTTTTCTTTCCACAAAAACAACCGAATATTAATTATTTTACAATATATAGCATCTAACTATCCATTTTCTTGCGTTTTCTTTCCACAAAAACAACCGAATATTAATTATTTTACAATATATAGCATCTAACTATCCATGTAGTGCATGAGGTTATGTCATCTCTATTACTCTTTCAGAGAATGAGCCACAATTTTACTAGGGAAAGTTCTTTCTTTCTCATACTTTACAAGGGAATATTGAAATCAATTTTCTGATCTCACTACAATAATAGTGTGTCACCTACTCATGGATGATTTTCCTTTTCTTTTTCTTTTGGCTTCTGCTCACGAAAACTACACACAAAAGCAGTGGTTTTGAAATGCCACTTACATCATGAAGGAGCCAAGATGGGAGACACAAATTAGAGGAACTTGATATGTAAACACACGTACTTAATGGGTTCACAAAAGAAATTGATGGAAGCTATATATTTTTTGGGTTTTCAAAAAGGCAAGATTAAGAACAATGCTTAACTAGACTTAAATTATTTTGCTGAAACGAAAGTATTGTTATTCCATGTTTGTTAGGATTTTATGTCTTAAACTAGGTTTCCATGTTTGTTAGGATTTTATGTCTTAAACTAGGTGTGTAATTTGGATCAGAATATTTCAATCCAAATGGAAATTTCAAACCAAATCTTAATTTCAAAATTTTACTGAGTATTTTTTCAAATCAAATTTTACTGCATTTTAGAACCAACTCTAAATTTTTATTAACTTATTCATTCATGTCCAATTTTCAATGTTTTTTAAAACTAAAAAGTTGCCTTTAAATTTAAATGATAATTTCTTCAAGTTGTGTTATATTTAGTGATACATACACATTAAGATGGATTTTTTGTTTTTGATTCTTGAATTAGTTAAACTTTTTTTTGGGTTCTCTCTTTTTTAATAATATTAAAAACTTTATTTGCTGATAAAATAAAATATGGATTTTCTATTATATCATACTTTCAATTTTAACTTTTGGCTCGTAAAGAACAATATTTTACTATTATCCTTATGGAATTCGAAGTCTGCCTGTTGTTAATTTCGCATATTTTAGAAAGAATTTTTTAAAATAATTCATTTTCTAGTATTTACTTGCAATATTGAAAATTATAAAAGTTTTATATTTTCAATATTAATTATTAAAAATGAGAAAATATTTGTCGCTAAGTATTATATTTATCCTTCGTCATTTATTAATTGCACTAACAAATGAGAAATTATAAATTTTTAGAGATTCTAATAAAATGGTTCTTTCTAGAGCTAGCCAAGATAAAATCACCATAAAAATGGACGAAAAATAAAAATCAATTTTGAATGAACTTGAATCTAACCAATTAGAATTTACAGATACTGAAACCAGAATCAGAACTAGTTCGAAACTTAGAATCCATTCTTGATTGGAGAACAGGCATTTCAATTCTGGTTTCAGTTCTAGTTGCATTTCAGTTCGGTTTGGACAAGTAGCTAACCCTACTTCCCTGCGTGATATTATGCTGAATTTTGTGTTGTCTCATGTGTCACAAGAAACAGAAGTGTAAGCTGCAGTGAAAATTTTCATGGAAAACTAGCATTTCTTGTTGTTTACTCAGTTGGCAAGAAAAGGCCTCATTAATAAATTCTGTTGTAAGTATAATAATAATAAATGTATAAATGGAATAATATTCAATCACCTTGAATTCAACTGTAACAGTCTCATTCCCTTTTCAACAATTCTGACAGTCTCTCTTTCTCTCTCAAGCTCTTCTTTTCAGATTGTGTTATTTGTTTGATTTTGACACTTCCATCATGAGATTTTCCTCTCCTTATCATGCATTTACATTGGGTTTTGAGTTTGCTTTCTCTCTCTCTCTCTCTCTCTTGGGAATAATTATAGGAAGAACAATCTCGCAGCCCCTAAATTTACCTTATTTTACCAATTGAACTCTTAAATCCTCTTATTATTTAAAATATATGCACTTTCAGAAGCACGATTGAATGGCTTAGTGGACAACTTCTATAAGTTGAGAATTCAATCCCTAAGAAAATACATACATAAAGGGACAATCAAAACCCTAAATTAGGAATGACAATGGCTTGAATATGGGTTTAATTTGAATAAGAAAATAAAGAAGTAGGTTATGGGTGAATCAAATTTTACTTTTAAAATTCAGACTTATCTTATTTTTAAATGTATCGAATTTTATCCATCATATCTAAATCAAGTTCGAGCAATTATTCCATAAGGCGAGTAAAATTGACATCTTTATCCTAGAATGATGTTAGTTATATATATATACACACACAAAAGAAACGATAACAAATTTCTCAAAAAAAGGCATTCAATATATCCAAATTGTAACTTAGGTTGAGTAATACTAAAGTTGAAAAGTCTGGCACTCGAATTCTTTTGGAATCCAAACTTAAAAAAAAAAAAAAAAAAAAAAAAAAAAAAAAAAAAAAAATCAAACTTAAAAAAAACAAAAAAAAAAAAAAAAAAAAAAAAAAAAAAAAAAAAAAAAAAAATAGTTCTCAATGTGAAAAGGGGAAAAAAAAAATACCATTTAACGGATTAATGCTTAACAATAAAAAAAATTAGAGGGGAAATAGATAATATGATAGAACCAGGTAAGGGTTTTCCTTGGGGGGAGAAAAGAATATAGCAATAGTCAGTGTCATGCTGTGAAGAACAAAAAAATTGATTTGGCATTGTAGAGAGGCGCAGAGGTACAATTCCTTTTCTTTAGGGTAATGATCCATTTGGTCTTATTTTCTATACCAAAATCTCTGAAGATACATCACACTATCATTCCAAATCTCTCTGCCTTTCACTTTCTGTCTTATTATTATTTCTTTGGAAACTGACTACCTTAGCTACCCCCTTATCCCTACCCACTACTTTTCTCCTCTCTTTTTATTTTTACTCTTCTCTTCAACCTATTTTATATATATGAACACAAACATTTCTTTCTATTGATCTTAAATTAGGATTTCTCTGCCAATTTTGTGGAACCCAATTAGTGTTTACCCTTTATGTAAAAAATAAAGAGTTAATTGCATTTTTGGTGTATCTACTTTCAAAATGTTTCTATTTTAGTTTATGAAATGAAAAAATTTACAATTAAGTAGTTAAACTATAATAAATTTTATAATCAAGTGAAATCTGCTTGTAAAGTTCAGGGGATTTACACATGTACATTAGAAGTTGCACTGCAAAATCTTAATTTAATTTGGTTAAGTGGACGGGTGTGGTGTACAACACTCTTACAGTGCTATCTGCAATTCTCTCTAAATTCATATTTATGTTGCAGTAAAACAAATATTTTCAAAGCAAATGATCATTCTGTTTTTACATTCTCTCAAGCTTACACCACTTGTGTTTTAGTTTCTAAATATATTATATTCCCTTACACACACTTCACCGATCCTTGAGTTCACACGTTGGTAAAAGCTGAATTTCTCAGATTTCACAAACCATGAGTTTTCAAAGAATCTCCACAATCAATACCGTACCATCTACCCCATTCTGGTTCAAGCAACTCGAAAAATCTATCAAAAGTCTGGATTCTGAACAAGCATTGCAAAAATACATTTTTTCACATCTAATAATATATATTGGTTATCGGAAAATCACGCAGTCTAATGGTGTGGTAGTAACCCAAAATCAACTAATTCAATGGCATCTCAACAAGGTAAATCCATCCTATACAATCAGTCTCGAAAAGGCAACTCCAACCGTGGGGTAGCAGGCAGTACTTCAAATTAGCAGATCCAATCACACTAAAATTTTATCCTGTATCAGGCAGAAGTAAACCTGGAACTTCAAAGGATTTCAGATGCATAAAATTGAAGCAGTCATTCTAATACTTGAATGTAAGTTCTTCAATATTGCTCTAAATTCCATCAGACATGTACCAGCAGATATTGCTCAAGCAGAGAATCGAACTAAAGGATGCATTTGACACACTTGCACACAGGCTAGATATGAACGGTCTCGTGCGGTTTCTTTTCAAATGGACTTCTGTAACAAGCTCATCCATATAAGACCAGAATATGTCAGACAACTACACTTCAGCCTTTCTACCTGAAAATCAGAGTTGAACCAGCAGAGGGATTTGATCTTATCCCTCACCTGACCCTCCACTTATTTGCAGACCCTCGTCTACCCCAAGTTGAGTTACGAGGTTCAGATCGGGAACCATTCTCTCCAAATCCTCTCGCTTCTGTCCTACCCTCTTTTCCAAATGGCTGCCTTCTCCTATGAGGCTCAGACTTTGGAGAATTTAAACTCTTTGTTCCTTCTACATCATATGCTAATGGTTCAATCCCCTGCAAATCAGGTGCTGGAATAAAGCCAATGGGGCGTTTTGCTTCATCCATTTTTCTAAATGTAATAGATATCCTGTGAGAAACATGACAAAGGCAGAAAATGAAGCTCACAAAAGTCATCAAAACTATTAATTACAACCAAGAAAATAACAATAAAGCTTCAGTTTTACCTCTTTGTTGGAACCGAAGGTACACAATGCTTCGACACATCAGCTGCATTTCCATTTAAGACAAGAACAGATCTGGAAGAACACATATCGCCCTTAATATTTAATTCCATAACATATATAAGGTATAAACTAATGTCAGACATAATTTACAGAAGGAAAAAGGCAGGAAAAAAAAAGAACAATGAGATTCATGCAAAGCTTCACATAGACTTACCCCACGGGCAGAGGGATTGCAATTGATCCAGAAAACTCACCAGCACCCACAACTGTCAAGTTAGATCCAAATACTATATTGCACTCGCTAACAAATGACACAGTGCAAAAAGGTCGAACAAAATCATGATTGTCAATATGAGGAGGTATACAGTCTCCTTCATCATAAATGTTAACAATACAGCTATCAGGAACACAGGTTGGAGGGAGCACATGCCATCTAACCAGCCTTCTAATGATCACTTTGAAGAGGTCAGGCATAGGATCTATGGTTTCATTCTGGAGGATGCCAGGTGGATTACCATTTTTGTCCTGCCAACATAACATCAAGAAAAAAAAAAATCAGTAGCACATTCGTCAAAAAAAGACTTAAACCATGGATTTTAATCCTAAAGTTATGAATCAATAATCAAACTTAATAATGACATTCAATATAAAGTTTCAAAAAAAAAAATAAATAAATAACATTCATTACAAATTCTTTAGAAATTAGAACCAACATATATATACATTGGCATTGCTTTTAAAAAAGCTGATGTGAATCCTGGTTCTATTACAGTATATTCTTATTATGGATATATAACATCATAAATAAACAAATAGTTCATTGCATAGCATTCATCATTTATGAACTTTGTACTTCAAAAAAAAAAAAAAAAAAAAAAAAACATCATTTATGAAACTTTGTACTTTCAAAAAAAAAAAAAAAAAAAAAAAAGAACACTGTAGTTTCAAGATCTACCACATTAATGTACTCCAGTTATAATTGGGACCAAAAGATTTAGCAAAAATAGAGCAAAAAAAAAAAAAAAAAAAAAAAGAACACTGTAGTTTCAAGATCTACACATTAATGTACTCCAGTTATAATTGGGACCATAAAGATTAGCAAAAAATAGAGACTACAGAAAGTGGAATCCAGTTATTCATTAAATCATATAGTTGAATCAATTGTAAGATTCCTCCATTACTATGATCAATCAAATTTTCATGCTTGATTCAAATCATTGGTTACTTCAAAAATACATTGTGAATCAAGCAATTTTGGTAACTATGACTACAAGCACCGAACTTACTGAATGAATGCATGTAACAGGATCCGAATTTACTGATGCCTAATTGTGACGACCACCAAATTGAATAGTTACATGCAATTTACCCTGATCCACTACCGTCGATTGAGGGGTAAGGGGCAAAGGCCATGAACCTATCCAATTTGGATTCAAAATTGAAAGATACATTGATCATTCTGTATAAACTTGATTGCCAGCTAAATTTGAATAATTTGGTACTTGAATATCAAATCACCGATTACGCAATTTTGATAACTATATAATGGGAAGTCATTAATGAAAGCTTGTAATCTAAGAGGGTCAGAACTTACTGTTGCATAGTTATAACAACAGCCAAACTGGATAGTTACACGCCCTTTGCCCCTCATCCACTTTTGTGGAGCTGTATATGTTCTCCCTGCACGGAAATTTCAGAATATCCCATAATCAGTTAGTAAGAAGCTGATATATCAACTGACTGGAACAACTTTAAAGAAAATATTTATCAAAACCATCCAAAAAATTATGTCACTACGAACATTGTCAGATCAGAAAAATCTATATTCCTAATACGTACAAAAAGACACAGCTTCCATAACATATGAAAAGAAGATTTCTTTACAGGAAGGAGATAGTGTTCTGCATTTTTCAACCTAACAGTAAAAGCTATAAGCAAATCATATATGAGCAAAAGCAGTTCCACCCCTTTCTGCTATGCAAAATTCTAACAAAAAAATGCACAGCCCATAATCTACAGGTCAACAACAATAATGCTAACGAACAGGAACAATTCCCACAATCTCTGTCCTATTTATTTAAAATATGAAAGCCCAGGATAATAAACTACTACTAAGTTGAGTTGGAATAACTAGAACTCATGGACTTAGAAGTCAAAAGTCCAAATAGGTCACCAACCAATTTTTTCACCCCTTTTAAAAGAGAACTAAAGCAGAATTTGAATACACCAATCCATGGGAAAACAAATGGTGAACCATTGCTAATTGATAGCAGTAATCAAAATATGAGTATATTCCTCTCAACATCGTAAAATTTTATTACTAGATTAGGATAAAAACAATTTAAAAAATAAAAATGAAATTGCATCTGCATTGGCAACTTGACTTTCTAACTATTTATGTCATACTGACCAACCCCATAAAAATTGTAAACTTGCAAATTTCTGTCATTGCTTAAATGTAAATAGTCTTCAACTCCACAGAACTACCATCATCAGACAACCTTTTGTGAAAATGCAAGAAACAACAGAACATATCACGTATAGAACTACGGAGACACAAAACACAGCAATTGAAAACAGTAGCTCATATAGGAAAATAAGGAAAAGAACATAATGAAAAGAATGCTTGGCATTTCTCTATTTCCCTTGAGGATGCAATTTCACAATCAAGAGTTTCTTCTCACTATTCCCACCAATTTAAATAAAAAGAGCCACCTAACATATAAAATGAGTTTTCCAGGCAAACTAAAGGCTTTTGTCAAGTAAAATCTACCACACAAATGCTTCAGGAATCATTTACAATGCTGCAACACCGCACAATTGCTGATAATGATTATTGCTGTGGTGATACTTCATAGTCACATGCAAAATGAAAAGGCATTACTTTATTAACAATGTAGTTTGGCATGTATGGAAGAAACAAAAGACGGCATGCATATTCCATTAAAATAAAAAATAAAAAAAAAGCCAACTCCTATGCCTTTCATAACAAAATAAAAGCAGGAAACAAACAACAAAAAAAAAAAAAAAAGAAAAATGTTTTTGTGAATTGATAAATCCATTTTTATTTATTTTTTATAATCAGAATAGTCAGAAAAAAGTAGAGTATAGGGCAACCGACCTTTCAGTTCTCCTTTTCTTCCCTTCTCCTGAAGTTCATAAACGTAATTAACTATCCTCGTCTGCTCTACAGCACTAAAAACACCAGTGTGGAGTTCAAGACCCTGAAGAATATTAACCAATTTCCCTTTAACCCTCTCCAAACAAATATACTCCTTCTTTCTCTTCACACTTGTAAACCGGATGTACTCTCTCTGCTCCCTCGATAGCTTAGGCTTCTCAACAACCTTTGATATCTTCATCTCCCCTGTTGAACCACTTATATCAATCATCTGCTTGTTCAACTCCCTTTGTTCCTCCTCTTCAAGCTCATCTTCCTGAGCCATGTCAGCCCAAGACATCCGATGGCTTGGGGTTTCAATTGAAGGCCCTGCACCAAGTATCCCTTTACAAGCTTCTGAAACAGGTTCAGAACACCCATTTGCCCCATCTTTCCAACTACCTAAAGAATTCGTCTCATCCCCATCTCCATCCGCATCCCCATCCTTCCAACTTCCAGAAGAATTATTCTCATAATTAATATCACAACAATGCTCATGTGATTCAACATTGCTTGGAGACGCTGGCGTTTCAGTTTTATCTGAATGTGAAGGTTCTGCTTCAACACCAAGTTCTACAACAACAATTCCCAAGTATATCAAAATACCCAAAAATTCTAGTTAGTGTAAAATTAACAAAACAAGAAAAGCCTAGTTCTAGCTACAAAGAAAAAAAATTCCGACTTAAACCCTAAACGTTGACATCAAATAACTAAGAATAAACAAATTAATTAACTATGCAATTATGGTTAAATTATTTGCTTTAATAAACAAAAAGAAAAGGAAAAACTAACGCAATGACAAAGAGATTACCAGGGTCGAGAGAGCGAATGCGATCAGAGAGGACTTGGGTGCAGTTGTGGCAGAGATCTCTGGAGAGGAAAGGGAGCCACGTGTTCAGGAACTCCGATGCAATCAGGAGATCGGACGGCTGATATTGAAGGAGGAAAGGATCTTCCTTCCTGACTCGGTCGAGATTGGCCATGACTGAGAACAATTAAGAGAGAGAGATTTACTGCAAGTTATTAACGTTGAAACTCGAGACTGATTTTTTGTGGAGTTGTCTTGATCGGAGGACGCGAATCTTGTAATTTAAAGGTAACGGGTACGGATGTCATTTTGAAATAACTTAAGGGTAATTTCGTCATTTCGTTCGTCCTAAATACAAAGGGAATTTATAATGTCTAGCAGCAATCTAATGCGAGTGCTTTAACTTGGAAGAATAAGCGAGTTAACCGGCCAACGGCTCTTCTCTGTATAGGAGGGAACCGACTTGATCTGTGCTGACTGACTGAGCCAAAACATAACTCGTTAAAATTAAGGTAAATATACACTTTGGTCCTAAATTATATCTTAATTAATATTTTTATTTTTAAAAATTACTATGACCTATTTAATATTTGATTAAACTCATTGTCGGATTCCTTACTTCTTAAAAAATGAGCATATCTTGTCTAAAAGATGTGTCTAACGAAGTGTTAATTTATATATAATTTCAAGAACCAAGTGTATTTTACTCTTAAAATTATCTATGAATTAGAATTTTATTAAATTTCTTTTAAATTAGGGATGAATTGAGTTCAAATTCGGCTCACTTTTAATGTATAGTTAAAAAATTAGTCCTCTATAGTTTTAAATTTAACTTATTTTCGACTTGTTAAACTTATCGAACGAGGTCTCAGATTTAAATTCTAAACTTAATCAGTTATATTGTAGAATAAATAAATAAAACTAAAATCTCTAAACTAATATGCTATAGGATGATGACATGGCATCTAATGATAGGCTACCAAATAACAAACATTTTTGTGCAGATGCACCGAAGACAAATCTCACAATGGATAAAACGCACAACCATAGCCAAACAATTGCTTCAACTAAGCACTGAAGAAAGAGCGAAAAAGAAAACAATGGAGAGCAAAATTCTTCAATTCCTCTCATCAAAATCACTTCCGTCAACAATCTTCGTCTACACATATCCTTCTTCAACAACACCACAGACTCGGATTTTCTTACCTTGCCAGAGAAAATCTTCAAGACTGTATTCCACCACCAATAGCAGCGGCGCAGGAGACAACGATGAAGCTCGGCCAACCGTAGCACCACCGGAAACAGTGGAGATAAGATTTAAACGAGGCTCAAGAAAGAGGAACAAAAGGCAGAGTGGAGAAGGAAAAGCAGTGATGAAGACGCAGATAATACCTGATCCTCCAAAGAAATGGGAAGACATGAGCATTACAGAAAAGGCAGTTGAGCTTTACATGGGAGAGAAGGGTATGCTATTTTGGCTGAACAAATTCGCTTATGCTTCCATTTTTATTGTTATCGGAGGTTGGATACTGTTCCGGTTTGTCGGTCCTTCTCTTAATCTTTATCAGCTGGATACTCCTCCTCTTGCCCCTACTAACATGTTCAAGGGATCTTGAATCACTAGAGCTGAGATTACAGTCCCATTTATCTGCTCATTTTATTCACCAAGGTCTCGTTTCTTCAATTGCATGAATTAATTCAATTTTGAAACTCAATTTAACTAAATCAAATAAATTTTTGAAACTCAATATAAACAAATCAAATTGTGTAGTTCTTCAGTACCATTGTCAGGTACAGACCCCCCCCCCCCCCCCTCAAATAAATTTTTTGAAACTCAATATAAACAAATCAAATTTGTGTTAGTTCTTTCAAGTTACCATTGTCAGTACCAGACCCCCCCCCCCCCCCAAAAAAAAAAAAAAAGAGAATTTTCGCTCAGGGTATCTCTAGCATCTTTCACAAGAATTATAATAATATTATTGCTTAAAAAAAAAAAAAAAAAAGAGAATTTTCAGCTCAGGTATCTTCTAGCATCTTTCACAAGAATTATATAAATATATTGCTTTCAAAGGCAAGAGTTAATGTACAGAATACTTGAAGAAAACTAGAACTAAGTTCCTCTAATCAGTCTAACCATAAAAAATTATATGATACACAAAATATTGTATTGTTGTAGCAAGAGAAACAAGCTTTCGAAAAAGAATGGTACACACACTAACACTCTTTGCTATAACAAAGTAACTATCAAGCTTTTCAATACATTCTTATGGCATTTCTACAATGAATAATGTAATGTGCATCTAAGATTTCCACTTTTCAAGATCAAACATTATGGCAATAATGAAATAGAACCTCAGCGAGGGGCAATTAAATCTACAGCAATTTAAACCCTCCAGTTCATGGCTACACAGCATTCACTGGCTGAGAAACTGACTGCACAACTGCATCTTTCTGAGTCTTACATCTGCAGTAGAATTTCCAATATTCAGCAAAATTTTAATGATGCTAAAATACAAAATTCATAGAAGGTTAATGATCCAGATGTTCACACATTAATTTGAATGATAAACGAAGAACAATAGCACAAGATATCTTTGGCTGCTGTGTTTTCTGTACTTTGAGGCCACTAGAATTTAGCTGGTAATTTCAAAGTGTGGTATTCATTCACAGATAACCATCTAAAAGCTCTTTTACTTTAAAAAACAACTAGGTAATGGAAAATATAACTTTCAGGTGATGGAAAATTTCCCACTTGTGCAAGAAACAGAAAGAGAAAAGTAAGAAACAGGAGAGGGGTTAGAAGTGGAAAGATAGGGAATTGAGATATTCCACTCACCAGCAGACAAGGTAGAAAATACACAAATCTAAAGAGCAAACACTATATCTGTGCATGGTAACATTAATACCTTTCTCATCAAAAATTATTGAGGACATAAAAATTCGCATATTTTTAAAGAGTTTTTACTTAAATAGCGGATTATTAAATATCAGGAAAGTCAGCGCTTGGCAATTACTGTTTGTTACTATGAAGAAGATGCTTACAGCCTTTAAAACACTAAGAAAAGTTAAGTGAAGGTAAAAAAACATGTACTAGTTCAGTGAAGATAAAAAACATGTACTCAGAAGTGGAGGAACTTCTATCTGAAAGGCACCAAAACAAGCAATATACAATACTTATCAGCAAAGGATCATTTCCCAAGTTATTATGTTGACTAGATGTAGATGAGTGATATAATTGGATTTTCCTATTAATAACAGGAAATAATTTCAAATAAAATATGCAAATAATTTAGTTGTCATAATAGAATCGCAGATCAGATATATGATATCCATATAGCCAACTTTAAATTGACAGTTTTGCAAATCCATAAGTGTAAAACTTGAGAAAAAAAAGTTTATAAACTAACCTATTGCACTGTGATCGAGATGCATAATTATGATTGTTGCAATTTGTACACATCCAATCTCCATTACGCCATTGCTTTGCTCTGGTAAGTATAGAAGAAAAATGTATTAGAAAAATTAACCATAGAAGGAATTGTAGTATAATGCACAGTATACATAGACTCCGTTCTGTAATACACCCAGCAAAAACTCCAAGCAGGTGACAATTGTTTTAGCACATTTCTTTCATAACCTTACCTTTAGTCAAAATCAACAATACATCTTATGTTACCATAATAAATTTATTAATTAGCTCATTTTTTGTATTTGCTTTATTTATTAAGGACACTGTTCTGCATTTTTCCAATACAATTGAGATGCAAGAAATTATCCAGATGGGCACTAGTTTGCAGCATATAAGAGCAGAAGATTATGCAGGATGAGCAATGCAGAAAGTAAAAGGAAAAAGACAAAAAGAAAAAAAAGCCAATATGCAGAGATGCTCAGCATGGTAAAAGCAATATATGATGTCAGTCTCTTGCAAAGAATGTGTTGAAATTGCTAAGTTGCACACCCCACAGGAGTAACTAAATCAACATTACCCTTTTCCAAGGAGTGCAGGCGTTGTTACTTGATGCGGAAATTGTAATGGTGCTTGCCAACTTGGAGCTAAACCTGAACTAACACCAGGATAAGGAGCATACATTCCTGGCCTTGGATCACCTGCGGTCCCTACTATTTGATCAAACACTGGATATGTGCATTGTTGTCCATTGATCTGCATAGTCTGCCAACGATAATTGACATCAAAACTTAAAAATAGTTGAAAGCAACTGCAACCATGCAGCCAGGGTTTGCAAAAATATTTGAAAACAAAATGATAGCATGCTAGAAACGAATCCTTACATTTCCTGAATTCAGTCTCTTGTTTTCCCAATCCTGAGCAAACTCTTCAGATGCCAATCGTTTCATTCCAAGTGCTTTAGGCCAACAAAGGGTAATAAAAACGGTAAACAAGTTTCAAGACATGTAAAACATTACAAAAAAACTAAGTAGAATTGTTTGACCAAAAGAAAATGACACCCATCATGAACAAGGAAGATCCTAAAAAGGAGCTGCAGCAATTGGACGCTCTAACAACATGTGCTATCTAGGAAAACTATATAATGCAGAATGGCAAACAACAATTGTCATGCATACTAAAGTCTAAAGCGAGGGTAATAATGAAGAAATAAATCCCAACTATATGATAGTCGAATGAATCCCACCAATAAGGCAATAATTAGTGAAATGAGATCTCAGAAAAAGTAAATGAACCACAAAATACAAACCAAGTTGGACAAAAATGATGTTGGAATAAATTGGTAGCATTATGCATTTTTGCTGCAACTGTGTACACAATAGCAAAAACATTCATCATCATATCACTTTCCTTCCCACAAGCAGATACATATAATAGGAAGCCACAATTCTGTGCCAACAATCTATAGGATTATAATAGCACAGAGTGAGAGCATACCTGGTGGCATAGAAGCGTTGCAAGTTTTACACTGCAATTGCAACAAGAACCAGATGAGAAAAAGAAATACATATCTTAAATGAATGAAGAATTTCTAACTCAAGGAATCTTAGCTAACATTTCACACCTGTGCACGTGAAGAATAATTATGGAAGCCACAATTACACATCCAATCACCATTTCGCCATCCTTTTGGAACTGCAAGAGACTGATTTACAGGATTTGCATAAGGCGGCCCAGGAATCTGGTTTCCACCTAAAGGCCAAGTAGAAGCCGAATGAACTCCGTACTTGTCAGCTTCTCCTGCAGACCAGCTTGAAGGCAAAGGGAGTGGCTGCTGGAGAGCACCAATGCCTGCTAATCCAATATTCATCTTTTGTTCAAGTCCTCCTTGGACCCTGGCAAAATAATGTGAATAAGTTGGCAGAGAAGCTCCAGGCATTGCAATTGCTGGCATTGCTGCAATCTCCTTTGGTTGTCCGCATTTTTTGCACTTTTCTCTTGATGCATAATTGTTGTTAGTGCAACCTATTGATCCATTGCCATACACACGCAACCCACAATGCAGCCACCAAGATGGAAAGGAAGCCAATGTATACGCACACCAACCAGCCCATCCCATTACCAAAAATACACATACAAAAAGTGAAATGAAAAAAAACAAAAACACTCAACCCAACTGATAGCAAGTTTTAATTTCAATTTGTCAAAAATTAAAACCGTAATATGCAAAAGTGATGACAATTAGCCCATAAATACAGATAAAAAAATAAAAAATTGCAGATGTACTAGAAAAGAAAAATTAGTTTGCTTAAAATGTTAGGACCTAAACTAATTACTGTTTGGGAAGAGAGAAAATAAAGGAAAGAGTGGGAAAATAATAGAGAGAAACAGGGGATCAAAGAGAAAATTAGAGAAAGAAAGAATATATCATACGAGTTTATTATTCCATTCTGAATTATTTACAGCAAACTAATGTATTTATACTATTGGTTTTCCAAGCACTATACAAGACTGACTCACTATTTATAATTGCAAGGCCAAACAAACAGAAGATTAAAACCCAATTACAACTGAATACAAGTCCTAACATAAACCTTCCGAAATTATTTTCAATAATTTCAAAATTTTAAACACACACCAGAGTGCAGGCCGGGTCAATATAACCATCAACTTTGCAATTGCAAGTAAAACTGGTTGTGGTGAATGGCTATTGAGTATTAAGGAAGCAAGTTAGCTAATTTGCTCTTAGTTTTAAAAAAATCGTCAAGAAATTGCCCAATAAAACAGTGAAACAAGTCGATAAAGTAAACATAATCAATCAGAAAAATGAATAGTTCATCCTTAATAAATAATATTACGGCAACACCAATTTACAATCAGCCACTCAACCCTCACTGCAACTACTAAATACCTAAACCCTAAACCCCAAAAAAATTCAATTAGACAATGGAAACCCTAATCTCGCCGTTAATTGTAATAAGAGAAGAGAATAAGCGTTACCGGTGCAGATCCAATCGCCGATACGAGGGAGCCATTTGGAATCAGAAGGAGTTTTGGTATCGACAAGAAGACGAGGCTGCTTGCATCTATTGCAAAAGGATCTAAACGCATAGTTTCTATTCTTGCAACCACTGCACTCCCAGTCTCCTTCTCTCCCTTCCCCTCCTCCCATTCTCTTTTCTTCTCGTCTTGTTTCAATGGCGATTTTGATTTTCATTTTTATGTATTTTAGTTTTTTTTTTTTCAAGTTCCGGACATGCCTGTTAATTGTTCAGCGGACCAAGAAAGGAAGATTGGAGTCGCTGTTATGGATCCGCATGTACATTGTTAGTTGTCCCGAACACTTTGCGTTTAAGGTCATTTTTGAGATTTGAGCTTTCCTCTCTACGTGTCTATGTTTGTGGGTCGGATCCAAGAGGAACATCCGAATTAATTGAATCGGGTTGAGTGCTAACTAAATGGATACAATTTCACAATGGGAAGGCTTGTTTAGTAATTTCACTTAGGTCCTCTTTGTGAATAACTTTTTATATAGGTTTTAGTGTTTTATTCTATTATTTATAGGCTGAATGCATAATTTCCCCTCGAACTATCCTTAAATTGTCATTTGTATCCCTCAACTTTGCGGGGAATCGCTTATGCCTCTTAAGTCGCTTTTTTTTGTGGCTTTTGTACCTCTGAGCAAATTGAAGGTTTTGCGTGAAATACACTCGCGTTGACGTGTTATAAGTAGTTGATTTGTCATCAATGTATCCGTCACGTTGGTTTCTACATGTATAAGAATTAACAGGAAAGAAAAAAAGAGAAAAACGAAAAATTAAACGAAAAGAAAAATCTTAACTCCTCTTTACCATAGACCGAAATCCCAAACTAAAAGGAAAATAAAAAAATCTCAGCGTCTCCATCTTGTTGAAATTCCTTTCTCTCATAAAATACAATCATGTTTTAATTCCATTATTTTTTTTTTTGGAATTTTAAAAAAAAAACATAAGAACATAAAAATAAAATAAAATTAGATTCAAAGACACAAAAACACAAACAGATTTAAAACTTCAAATTAAAAAGAAATTTCTTTGATGAAATTGATGCTAAATCTGAGATAAAAGATCTCCTATAATACCAACAACACAATCTAGAGACTATCAATACCCAAAATCAGATCAAGAAAAAAACAAAAATTGAAAAAAAAAAATCATACAATCCTGTTAGTAGTTTCGATTTCATTAACCATAAAATCATTAGAAAAGGTTGGTTTGGTTTTGATTATAGAGAAACAGAAAAGAAGAAGAAGAAGAAGAAAAATCTGTTTAGAGAATGAGAAGGAGAAAAATAAAGAGAGAAACTAAGAGAAGAAGAAAAAGAAGAAGATAGATCTGTTGAGAGAATGAGAAGGAGAAAAATAGAGAGTGAAACTAAGAGAAGAAGAAGAAGAAGAGCGAGATAGAGAGAGAAACTGAGAGAGAGGATGAGAGGTGAAGTTAGAATGATTTTAATAATGTAAAACAATGTCGTTTTTGCCACGCTGGACAAAATTTAAGGGGTTCACGCTCTTATTTGCATTTGAGTTCATGCGGCTCTTTTATAACGTGTCAAGGGACACAAAGGCTACAAAAAAATGCAACTTAAGGGGCATAAGCGATCTCCTGCAAAGTTGAGAGGCACAAATGGCAATTTGAAAAAAGTTTAGGGGAGAAATTATGTATTCGGCCATTATTTATAATATTTGATGTCAATCAAATGTGGTCTGATTGATCTTCTTACCTTTTGTAGAAGATATAGAAAGTGATAGGTCTCAAGTTTGAGTTCTTTCAATCACAAAATTATAGTCAAATATTTTAAATTTTAATAATTAAATAAATCAATTTGAAATAATCCCTCTCAGGCCCTAAGGCTAATCAATACATTGTTGGTTCCATTAATGAAACTGATTTTGCTACAAACTCATCATTTCTCATTTTTGAAAATATATATACATATAAGGAAAAAAGAATCGTTTCTTTTTTACATCTTACTCTATCAACTTATCTCAAGATCTGAATAAATTTCTTTTACTGCTTCTCCTCATAAGGAGAAACTTGAATTGTCCTGAATTCAATGGTTTAATAAATAAATGTGCAAGCTGCAAATTAGTCTTTATATGTTTTGTCTTTACTACTTCTTGCGGTATATTATCTCTAACAAAACAACAATCTAGTTTTATTTATTTAGTTCTTTCATGGAATGGAATTTTTAGAAAATATGTAACGTTAAATATTCTCAAAAAATAAAGTGACTGATTGTAACATCCCTTCCCGGTCCACCCGTAAACCCGAATGAACAGAACCGAGACGCTACAACCTGGTTGACTGTATGGCCTGACATGCTGAAATCATAATGTATATTGAATATAATATCATGCTGATGTTGTTTATATTACTAATTTACTTAATATTTACAAAACATGATCCTGACATGCTGAAATCATAAATGTATATTGAATATAATATCATGCTGATGTTGTTTATATTACTAATTACTTAATATTTACAAAACATGATACTTAGTTTTACAAAATGAAATGGGCCCACTGTTGTCCTGTTTACATGCCATGGAAAGATAGAAAAAAGATACACATCCAAAATGGAGTAGCTACCCTGAAGACTTGAGTCTTCTACAGATGAACTCAGCATTGTAGTTTGACCCCTCTACGGTCAACTCAAAACCTGCCGAGTTAAACAGGTAACTCGCTGAGCAAATTAAAGTCAGTGGATATCTCTACATATGAAGAAAAATTAGAAACAATTTAGCACATACATGTGTAGAAAGAACCATGTAAACACATATGGCACATATAAGCACACATGTCATGATACCTTCATTATACCTTGATGATCTTTATAATACTGTAGGATTCATGCCATGTTATGTCAAGATATTAGTATGGCTCCATAAGGTTATAGTGAAACCGAAGTGATAAGGAAAAACTATATGAAACTGGATGAATACTGTATGATTGGCTGCTATGGCCCATATATAATCATATCCACTCAACGGCTTGTAGCCGGAGTATCGAACTGTATGGGGTGCAGATCTGCTATCCTATGTCACGACACGCGACATAGCCTGTATCTACATGGTTTCTACCTAACCTCAATGGAGCATATGTTGGTATTGTAAAATAATATAACACAAACATCATAGAATAGTTCATACTTCATAAAATCATAATGTTTATTTGATTTCACATCCATTTGCTGCTGAATGTTTGGTTTTAATTACATGCTCTCATGTTGTATTTTGGTTGTTAAAAATGATTTGGAGGCATATAAGTGAAGCAAAGGAATACAATTTGCATTTGAAAATTGAAGTACCAAAAAGTGCATTGAAAACACATAAGTCGCGAGCGCGGCCTTGCAAAGTCGCGAGCGCGTAAAGCACTAAATGACGGACAGTGTGTTATCGAGTTGAAAGGCGCGAAGCCGCGCACTTGAAAGTCGCCGAGCGCGTAGGTGTTTGTAAAATGAGAGACAGTGAGTTCGCGCGGCACAAAGTCGCGATGCGCGCAGTGCAAAGTCGCGAGCGCGCAGAAGTGCCAAATGAGAGTCAGGAGTTTCAGGTGAAAGTCGCGAGCGCGCAGTGCAAAGTCGCTGAGCGCGAGAAGGGCAACGCGAGCTGCTCATGCAAGTCGCGCCGCGCGCGTCGCTTCCAGCCTTGCACTGTCTGTACTCTTTTGATCATATCTCTCAATATACAACTCCGATTTGGATGATTCAAAAACCCATGCTAAAGCTAACACATAGAGGAAACAAATAACTCTTCTATGACATTCCTAATTCCATTCATTAAATGGGAGTCAAAATCAAGATTGATATTACTGTAAAATTTCCAGGCAAACCCTGTTTCAACTTAAACTCAATATTTACCTCATTTATTCACTTCCTCCCCTGTTTCTCACCCATTACCAGTCCTCCCACTCAACATGAAGCAAATATATTGTCTCCTAGCAACACACCACACAAATTCTTCATGCAAAGAAGAATGAAAAATGACAAAGAGATTATCAAACCTTACTCCAAAAAAGCTTGAGTTCTTTCTTTAGCTTCTTTTTTCTACAATCTTTTGAACTCCCTCACCTATACACATCAGAATTCTTATCCTATAAATAAGAATTCTTATAACTTATCTACAATATAGCTCAATTAGAGGTTGAATAACATAAAGCTTCAAGAAATTCTACTTACTTGGAGAAATTAAAGGTTGCCTTAAGCTTAACTACTAGGAAAATGGATGGAGAAAGAAAGGGAAATGAAGGAGATGAAGAAGATGAAGATAAAGAAGACGTTGAAGATGGAGATGAAGAAAATGAAGAAAGCAAATTGAAATGGAAGTCTCGTCTACCAACTGTCTCTTTAATTGTATGGTACAAATACCAAAGAAGACCTACAGTTTCTACATGTATGTTATATTTTAATACCTCAACTTTATTATTTGCAAATAAGCCTACTCTTATGACCGTTGATCTTTTTTCTTCCTCACTCAGTCAAGTCCACTTATAATCCCATTATAATCCCATTCTACCCCAACCGGGTTTGGTTCAACTCGACTCAACTCGACTACTCGACTCTATGCACAGACTCAACTCAGTAGGATGTCACACTGATTCTGTATGTACAACATCAAAATCTTGCAACAAATGAACAAGCCATATAATTTCATAGCATGTAACAACCATGACTCTCTATTCTACTTCGGCAGAACTTCTTGAGATGGTTTTTTTTTTTTTTTCCAACTTATAAAAAACACAAAATCCTATAATAGACTTCCCATTTCAGTGTAACCTATCTACCCATTATCTGAATATGCTTTAAGCTTTAATTATGCTTTAGGAATAGCCCTTAACCAGGTGCTTGCCTCATGTACTTCAGAATAGTCCTTGGAAATACACTTTAGAATATAAAAATTCCAAATTTTGATCTTGTCACACCTACCCAATTGAAAGATGTGGCATGTCGCCCGTAATATGTTTAAGTCATGCCCAACTCCAATCACCAGAGGAATTGTCCGCTTTGCTTCAAACCGAATCCATCCCATATTAGATTGGCAAGATTCGTACAGTTTTGTTCCACAGGAGAAATGGAGAACTTCCCAGGTGGTCACCCATCTTGAGATTTTCGTTAAGCGAGCATGCTTAACCTTGGAGTTCTTCCAACTCTCTAAGCCATTCCACTAAAAGGCGCCTCTGTTGATTAGTTTCCCCCCTTTTTGATATATGATTCGATTTGTTCATGTGTTCTGTAGTCGCACAGTTTATGAAGCACTTAGTCTATATAAGAACTCGATAAATATACAATA